ATATGTGCATTCCTTGTTTAAAATTTTCGAAATGGCTGCCTCTTAGTGGCAATGGGGGAAGGGTGACATCCGCTATTGCTTGCAATGGCAAATCTAGTTATGGCACCCTCAACGGAGTTGGGGTGACATATTGTTATTCTACGTTTCTTTTTTTATGGCACCCTCAACGGAGTTGGGGTGACATACATGTATTGTTATTCTACGTTTCTTTTTTTTCTTATTTTTCTACCATTCATTTTGTCTGCGCGAGTTCTTGGAATCTAATGGACCAATGTTGATGGAACTCTACTATAATGAGGACCCCCATGTAAAGTTGTGCACCTTGCTATGGAATGGTAAAAAATGGCCGCCGTTTCCATGAAATCAGCAAAAAAGCGAAAAATTCGAAGTGTTCCAAACTGGAAGAAACTCCACAGGAATGGTAATTGGCATGTGCTGATTTGCAGTTTGACTTCGGAATTTTCAAAATGGCTGCCGTTACCATGGAAACAGCTAAAATATCAAAAATTTTAAAACTTTTGTTATAAGACCCAACTGGATGAAACTTTATGAAAATGTTACCAAGTATGCTAAGATGTCAAGACAATATTTGGATAGTCCAAAATGAGCGCCGTTGTCATGGAAACTGAGGGCAAGTTTTACTTGGACCCTATTGGAAAATGCATAAAATCAACATTTTCTTAAAGAGTATTTGACCAAAGTCAATGAAACTGTATTGATATATAACATGACATGTGGCAATGAGATGTCTGCTTTTAGAATTTTGGAATTAGCCACTGTAACCATGGAAACAGCAAAAATGTTCAAAATTTCAAAAAAAATCAAAATGCTGCAAACTGGATGAAACTTTACAGAATTGGTAACTGGCATGGGCAGAGTTGCATTTTGAAGTTGGAATTTTCAAAATGGCTGCCGTAACCATGGAAACAGCAAAAAAGTTCAAAATTTCAAAATGCTCCAAACTTAATGAAACTTTACAAAAATGATAATTTGCATGTGTAGATGCACTCTTTGACTTTGGAATTTGCTAAATGGCTGCCGCTCACCTGGCAATGGGGGAAGGGTGCCATCCGCTATTGCTTGCAATGGCAAATCTAGTTTCTTATTATTTTTCTTGCACAAATTTTGTCCGCGCGAGTTCTTGGAATCCAATGGACCAATGTTGATGGAACTCTACTACAATGAGGACCCCCATGTAAAGTTGTGCACCTTGCTATGGAATGGTAAAAAATGGCCGCTGTTTCCATGGAAACAGCAAAAATGCGAAAAAAATCAGAGTGTTCCAAACTGGACGAAACTCCACAGGAATGGTAACTGGCATGTGCTGATTTGCAGTTTGACTTTGGAATTTTCACAATGGCCGCCATTACCATGGAAACAGCTAAAATATCAAAAATTCTAACTCTTTTGATATAAGACCCAACTAGATGAAACTTTATGAAAATGTTACCCAGTATGCCAAGATGTCAAGACAATATTTAGATAGTCCAAAATGGCTGCCGTTGTCATGGAAACTGGGGGCAAGTTTTACATTGACCCTATGGGAAAATGCATAAAATCAGCATTTTCTTAAAGAGTATTTCACCAAAGTCAATGGAACTGTAGTGATATATAACATGACATGTGACAAGGAGATGTCTGCTTTTAGAATTTTGAATTAGCCACTGTAACCATGGATGCAGCAAAAATGTCCAAAATTTCAAAAAAAATGAAAACGCTCCAAACTGGATGAAACTTTACAGAAATGATAACTGGCATGGGCAAAGTTGGTTTTTGAAGTTTGAATTTTCCAAAATGGCCGCCATAACCATGGAAACAGCAAAAATGTCCATAATTTCAAAATGCCCCAAACTTAATGAAACTTTACAAAAATGATAATTTGCATGTGTAGATGCACTCTTTGACTTTGGAATTTTCTAAATGGCTACGCTCGCCTGGCAATGGGGGAAGGGTGCCATCCGCTATTGCTTGCAATGACAAATCTAGTTATTATTATTCTTCCAATGATTTGCACTCTTTGACTTTGGAATTTTCTAAATGGCTACGCTCGCCTGGCAATGGGGGAAGGGTGCCATCCGCTATTGCTTGCAATGGCAAATCTAGTTATTATTATTCTTCCAATGATTTTTGTCCAGCAGTTTTTTTGGAGCCAATGAAACCAATCTTAATGATAGTTCACTATAATGAGGAACACAAAATTTTGGGTTGCAGTAGGTCTTAAGAACATAAAAAATGGCTGACGTTACCATGGAAACGGAACAAATGTGAAAAAATCCAGTTTTTGGTTTTGGTGAACTATTTGGATATGCTTAAACTAAGAATCATTATATTTTAATACAATGTAGGTGCCTACTATATACTGGTATTGGATGTTTTTGGCAATCATTGGAACTACTATGTTGCCATGGAAACAACACCAAACATTTCAAAAATGTCAAAATGCTCCAAACTTAATGAAACTTCACAGTAACGATGAGCAACATTGGAAGATGTGGCATTTGGAGTTAGAATTTCCAAAATGGCTGCTGTTACCATGGAAACAATGCAAAAAGGACCAAATGCTCCAAAAACTTCAGGGTTTGGTGAATAGTTTTGGTATGCTTTAACTTAAAATCATCAAATTTTTATACAATATAGTTGTCTATTGTATACAGGTTTTGACTGATTTTGACAATCATTGGAATTACTATGTTACCATGGATACAGGAGCAAAAATTTCAAAAATTTCAGAATGCTTCAAACTTAATGAAACTTCACAATAATGTTGACTGTCATGTGTGGAAGCGGCAATTGGGTTGAAATTTCCAAAATGGCTGCCGTTACCTTGGAAACAAGGCAAAAAAGGATAAAATTATGCGTTAAATTTGTAAATCCGCTAAATGTTCTAAAAAATTATAGAAAGATGTATAGCCATTAGTATATATGTGCATTCACTGTTCAAAATTTTAAAACTGGCTGCAATCTAGTGGCAATGGGGGAAGGGTGACATCCGCTATTGCTTGCCATGGCAAATCTAGTTATAATTGCTTTCACAAAAAAAAACATATGTTTAAACTAAACTAAAAGTGTCACCATTAGTGGTTAGAGTGCCCTTCGAGTGAAAAATTAACCTGCCGGCGACGAATCAGAGAATTCAACTTTAAATACAGTATAACAACTACATGTACATGTATCATGACTATAGGACAACGGTGTTGATTAAAAATTACACCATTCCAGGCCCTTTTGTTTTCCACATAATTAATATTACTAATCATTAACAAGTTCCGGTTCGAATCCTATACCAATACCAATTGTATATGTCACATGTTACCTGTTACCTGATCTGTATGTTCCCCCTCTGTCAGGTGCACCACCAAATGGTTTATTTGGGATTTGCTATACTACACGAGTCATAATCACACCTGAACTTCGTCATTATACAGGGATTGACACTACTTATGCTACTAAATTCAATCATTGACTTAAAATATATATCTACAAGTAGTTTCCGGTTGTCATGGTTGTAGTAAGAAAACCAGGACATATTCAAACAGAAATTTTGAAAGCAGAGAAAACTGTGCACCTTATAATCAGCAAGACTTTATCAAATGACAATACGAATACTAAAAATCCAGGCTGAAAATAAGGTGTATGCACTTTAATTCAGTCACAAACCCACGATGTCGCAGGTGTGTTCTAGTCTGCTAGTGTTTACTGAAAAGTATAATAAAAAAGAATAGGAACATGCATTAATACTAGCCTTCTGAAGCTCATCAGGTGGGAGTTGGGGCTTGCTACAATAAGGGAACCATTTTGGTAGTTATACAGATCTTACAACAAAAATCATTTAGCAGGCCAATTAAGGTCATTCAAGGGTTTAAGGTTATACTTATACAAGTCATGTTTATATACATGAAGAAGAACATTTTTTGTAAATACTACTAAACTTTGCTGGTATATATGTAAGTAAATTTGTAAGATTTTCCTTTTCTTTTCAAGGTTTGAATAATCACCCCTTAATCATGTTAATCTTCTCCAATAATCATGATAATTAACTTACATTTGAAGATAAGTAATTTTTTTACAACCTTTTCAATTCTCAAGTGAAGGGAGGTCAAAACATGCCTAAATAATATTTTTTCTGGATTGCTTATTATTTTTTCTTTAGAGTTAACGTTCAAATGATGTTCAACCTTGTACCTCAAAAACTACAAAAAGAATTAGATTGCGTTCAGATGTTAAGCAATTGTGCAAGGCCTTCAAAAATTGCTCCCTAATGACTTGTATAATTTTTGAAGATACATTTAACAGACAAATGAGATGTTCATTATCCATGAAATTATATTTTTATCATGTTTATGAATACTAAAGACAACTATTGATGACAGGCAATTGCACACTCTATTAGAGCAATGTATTCAAGTAAAATGCAAGAAAAGCAGAAAATAAGATTTTATACTTATTATTATATAAGTAAAAAATTCTTAATGTCTGAGGGATTTGAACATGTTGAACTCTACCTCAAAATCACCTGTACCAGTAAATAAAAAAAAACCTTGTATATTTATTACCCCTGTTTATCTATCTTCGTATTTCCGCACTCAGCACAACTTTGACTACAATGTGCCGTTGCATGCGTGACTTCTGTACAATTTAAAAGAAATAAATTTTTCAGTAATATTACATTACATTGGTGAACAGAAAAAAACTGACTGAACATGCTAAATGTTGAGTGTAATCTCCACAGAGAATGTTATTATTCAATTTATCTATATTAGCTATTTCTTTGCATATAATGGTAAAATTCACATCTGAACTGTGGAAGAATCTGAAGTTCTACATTTTGAAGTTCTACATTTTGAAGTTCTACATTTTGACATCAGTGATATCTCTCAAACTCATACAAAGTCAAAAATAGTTTGGAGAATAACATTCAAAAACTGTTCTATTTTCCGACTAAAACTGCTGAAAAAATGTATTTTCCCCCACAAGATGCTTTACATTGTTTGTTTACATACCTCTGTGAAACTAGCCATTGTTTTAGATGGTACAAATCTGCAGCCTCAACAGTTTGTTTGCGATGAAAAAGTGAACTTCAACCTTGCTCGATGTTGAAAAGTTCCTAAAGATCTAGTCGTAAAAGGCGGTTTTTATAAACGTCTATCTAACAAGGATAATATGGAATTGAATACCAAATCAACAACGACGTACGAGTAATTATCGAAAACTTTATCTAAAACTAAAATATCAACTTAAAAAAACTTATATATTTCAGAAAAATTATTTTATATACAGAATAATTTAATTTTTTGATTAATTAGGACGTCCAGGTATATATATTTTTTTTTAATTTTGTGATAAAAGTCCGTTTGATTGTACTATCTATATTTGGTTTATAGTTTTACCGTTTTCGATCCGACCAGCATTTTGTTCAAATTTACGTAGTAAACACCACAACGGACTAGAAAGCTGTAAATTCTTGCTAAGTCACTCACCATCATCACAAGAAATAACTGGTTAAACCCTGTACCAATAAATAAATTCACGTATTAGTCAGTTCAAACATAACACGCAGTCTTATTTGTATTCAGCACTACGCATATACAAGAATTAAAAAAATGTTTTCTGGAAAAATGTATTTCATTGAAAGGGGGATCTTCTTTTTTTTCAATTCTATACTGCGGGAAATCCCTTCATTGGGGATTCTGGGTAGTGGATGATGGCGGACGTTCACCTTTAGCGCACAGATTTTATAACATTTATAGTGTTTTAATGGAGCTACGTACGTTTGATTTTTATAGGGAGGGCTAGGATGAAATTTGAAAAAAGGCAGGACAGGAGTTTTGAGGGAAAAAAAAAAGGCAGGATGAAAAACTTGGCAAAAAAAAAGGCAGGATGACAATTTATGTAAAAAAAAAGTGAGGATAAACTAATAAAAAAAGGCAGGCCCGAATACAGTGAAAAATAAAAAGGTAGGACAGAGATTACAATTAAAAAAAATGCAGGACAAAATTTTCATCCTAGCCCCCCATAAAAATCAAATGGTAGCTCCCTAATTCATAATAATACAGCACCTGTAGATACTGTATAGTACTGGAGCACCATTTTATCGTTATACATCCATTTCAAGTTGACTATTTTATTAACTGTAATCACCAACTTTATCACCTTCCCAAGGCCTCAACAAGAGACATAGCCAGAAATTGGTAGTACTTTTGCTAATTAATAATCATAATATGTAAATGAGAATTGTACCACGTGATAATAGTTTGAACTGGGGCGTGTTTTTTTGTTCTTCGGTAGTGAGCCAGAAGTGGAACATTTCTGTTTTTTTGCATAGGGCCCTCTTCCACCTCTTCGTTTTTGATAGGTAGTTTAGACGGCAGAGGCACATAACAAACATGGCGTCGTTTAGTCTAAATGACATTAATAAATTTATGAATGCAGATATATTGGAATGTGAGCTGTGTTATAAACGTTTTTATGGTATGACAGTCTTAATAGGGCATCCCTGTATGACGATAAGCTGGATAAATATAAGAACTACACGGACAATAAAAGTTAAGGGACGACTATTTGATATTCTAGGGAAGGGATTTTGATTGATTGGTGTTTAACGCTTCTTTCAACACTAAGTTGGGCTATTCCGTGGTGGTCAGTTTAAATTTATAGAGGGCATTATTAACATTTTTAATCTGTCGCTAATTATGCATATTTTTCAGCTCTTAATTACCAGCCCACCCCACTAAATGAATGAATATCAAATGGTTTTTCTTCTTATTTAACACAAGTTTAATTGGTTGATTGTTTGTTTCTAATTATTAACGCCCAGTGACAAATATGTCATGCATGTTCAGGACTCGGTTCAAAACACGAGTTTAAAAGTCAGGTAAATAAATAAAAACGAAAAAATGTATTATTGCTAATGAGGCAACTATCCACCGGAGTTCAAATATGAAGTGGATGTAAGCAATTATAGACAACCGTAATTAAGGCCTTCAACAATGACAAAACCCGATACTGTCAAAAGGCCCGACGTGAAAAGTGTGCGAAACAATTCAAACGAGAAAACTTGGGGCCTAATTATACATAACAAAATAATTTACAAAATATCAAATATGAGTGGAGACATGAACCAACGACAACAACTAAACTACAGGCTCCTGACTTGGGATAGACGCACACAGAATATGGCAGGGTTGATATAAAAACGAAGATTGCCAATGAGACAACCCTCCAGAAGAGACCAAATGACACAGCAATTAACAGCTATAGGTCACCGTACGGCATTCAACAATAAGCAAAGCCCATACGCATAGTCAGCTATAAAAGGCCCTGAAATCACAAATGTAAAACAATTCAAACGAGAAAACTAACGGCCTAATTAATGTACAAAAAAAAATGAACGAAAAACAAATATGTAACACAGCAAAAAACGACAACCACTGAATTACATTTGACTTTGACTTTGGACAGAGCATACATACAGAATGTGGCGGGGTTAAACATGTTAGCGGGATCCGGCCCAACCAGCCCCCTAACCTGGGACAGTGGTGTAACAGTACAATAACATGTTTGTGAGCGCTTAACCCTCCCCGAGGCTGGGACAGTGGTGTAACAGAACAATATTAGAACAACCTGCACAAATCAATTGCAATTAGATTAACTCAAAAGATCGGTACGAGACACACAAAAAAAAACTTACATTAAGACAATAGACACAAAGCACCGAAATAAGGGGTATTTGCAATTACTGGAAGTTTGCTCAAAGCTAATTACAACTATAGTACTGAAATAAATCTTGTTCTTCAAGACTGAAGTATCAATCAGTACACAACCAACGGATTTTAAAAAAAAAAGAAGAAAAAACAGTCTGAGAAATGTCTGGTATACATTGTATATATATACTTGCATATAGATCCATATACAATGAAAATGTTTGAAAAGTGGTGGTCCGAAGGTTTTGACCATCGAAATTATGCAATAGAAATAATAGTTAGGACCAGAAGATTTTCTTCAAGGACCACCAGAGAAAAATGATTTTGAGAACTTTCCGATATCTTTGCCTTATACAAAAATAATCCAGTTTGGTTACTTTAAAAAAATTGAATAGACAAGATGTCCTTTTTGATCATATTCGAGACGAACATTGACGAATTTTTGTGCAGTTTAAGATTATTCTTAAAAATCAAATAGTGGGGGTTTACGCCTGATTTGTATAGCAAAATTGAATTAGAGGAAAGAACAAAGAAACATGTCACAAACAGAGCACACTTTTACAGTCATGTCTACCGGACGTATCTTAATTTTCTATGAAATCATCGTAAACTTCATTTAATATGTCATCCAACATAACAAAAATCTGCTATATTCGACGGCAAATTGAATTTTTGTTTTATTGATCTTCCGTAGAATATCTCCAGGTTATCTCCAGATTCATTTTTTTTGGACTCTTCACCAGAAGACATTCTGGAGATGTGCAGAATAGACCAATAAAACACGCCTGGCTTGATATCATTAAAATCTTTAAAACACGGATATTATAAGTTGCCCGTCACAGAGTCCTTGTTTATAATCACTCTGAAAGTATCATAAGATATGTCATAAGATTCATCTTAAGACAAATTTTATGACCATCTTATGACTAACATTATCATGATATTTCGTAGAATGTAAATCATAGCTGTCATAAGATATTCATACCTATAATAATGCTCAAATGACAGTCAAAAGTGAAAATATATAACTATGAAAATAATAACTATTACTATTCTTATCTTATACGAATATTTTATATATTTTTTTCATTATAATGAACACGATGAACTTGAAATTATATATGGTGAGGAGTTAAATTCTGAGTTGATAATTTGTTTAAATTTAGTTACAACTTGTATTATTATAATGAAGTTACCCAATTGGGAATACTTTTAAGATTTGGTACTGAGACATAGCCGGAGTACCCGCTTAAAGAAATGCCCGTGCAAATACGGTAATGAACTACTATATAAAGAAAAAATATTATAAATATTTATTGAAAATAATCATTACAAAGAAAAGGATTCCAAATTGTACATCGCAGGAGATTCAAATTTTAAATGACGAATTGGAGAAGAAATAAATCTTTACTATTTAGCAGATTAAACGACACAACAAACAGTGCGAATAAGAGAGCAAGAGAGGCTGCATGCAGAAACGGATTTTGTAGGAGGGGCAGGACCTCGCACCCTATGGAGCTAAATATATGGTTTATGTATAGACTTTGAGCATATGCCACTCCAAACGTTGCCTAGTTTGGGCCTTTTTTCAAAATCCTGGATCTGCATGTTGCATGAGCAAATAAGAAAATGCGTGATGTCGTAACATTTATGACAATCATAAGACCATCAAAAGTCATGTCGCGAGGTGTCTTGAGTGTATGATAAAAGTTATGAATATCATGACTTGAGACCCTTTCGAATACATATCTTATGACTATGACATGTCCTTTAACCATCTTAAGACATGTCTGATTCATTCTTGCCTATCAATTTCCCCCTTGTCCCTCATATAAATAATTGCAAATCCATGATATCCTACGTGAACAGATCTACATCATTTTAAAAGTTGGTGCTATGTAAATGTGACCTGCAGTCAACTATCATTTTGCCTGCTATGACTGTTAATGGTATTTTAAATATTTCCAATAAACAGTAATTTTCAACGTAATACGAAGAGGATAATCAAAAGATAAAAACGGAATATCTGAAACCTGAGGTTAAAATTAAAGTACAAAAAATGCATATTATAGAGACTATATAAGCACTAACTGAGTCACATGGCATATAATAACATCGTCGATTTTAATCTCAATTTTTTGCCGGAATTATTCTTACTTGTAAATCACAGGCTATTCTATTGATAATCTAGAAACCTTGCACTCAATGCTATGAATTTATTGCAAACTATTTTACCGCACATACATGCTCAATTATGATTCCTTTTAGGTATTTAGATCTTTCTTTTTGGTTTGGACTACATTAACTTGCGTATACACTTTTCGTAGTGCTACGGTTTTGACGTTAGGTGACTGGCAGTAACCCTTCACATAAGCTTTTATCCTCGTGCTGATATTTCCGTAAAGTTGTCAGGCGGTCAAAATCAAAACAATGAACGCGAA